TTATGTAGGTTTGGAGGGTCCAAGTACCTTCTGAGAAGGTGATTGGATCCCTAGGGTACTGTAATTCCTCCAATTTCTATTCCTACGTCCCCTCCCTCTCGGATCAAAGCACGCTCAACGCCGTCTCAGTCGCTTGAAGGGACTGTGAAGAGATCTAAGGGGAAACGCGGCAGCGATGCCATAGAGAAGCCAAAAGTAGGCCTTAATTGTCGTGAGTCATGAGAGTCTACATTGTATCATCAAGAGTCCACAATAACGTCAAGCCATGAAATATAGGCCACCTCCCCATTAGTTTGGTCCGCCTTATTCCTGCAATACTGCCAGTAAAGCAAAAATCAGCAAGTGGCAATCCAAACACGAAGGTTCACTGTCGCCCTACTGGTGACACTCTAGCTTAAACGCAGAATCTGAGCTCGTGCTTCCCTTTCCCTGATGCGGTGTGGTAGCAATTTCAAGTTCACCAAATCAACCGCTGGCCGCCACTGGCCCGAAAACACAATGCAACATCATCCACGAATACTTCACAAGCAATCCCCAGCTCGACATTTCATGGAATACTTGCAAACATTGGGGTGGTTTCAGGGGTCAATGTAGCAAACTACTCCTTGTGTGCAATGTGGAGTGGTTGGTAGCCTGGTAGCTCCCTCGATCAGTGATGTTCACGCTGATGCAAAAGTGAGCCTGAAAGTCCCAAATCAAGGCCTGACTCAGTCACATCGGTGCTGAAAGGCCCCAATCTGCCTGTGCTTTAATGTCCTGTGGCCTATCTAAATGTGGTCATTGGTCATGAGACACCTGCGCCACCATGCAAACAAGCCCTACTCCCTAGAGCACAGGCAACAACTCACGAGAGCTTTTGGATGAAGGCCCTAAATGCACTACATAAACTTCAAAGATCTTCAAAGTAGACAAGGTACATCTTATCCTTGTTCATCCATAATTCACAATTAATTAATGATAAATCAATCGCTGTACAAATCACAAAACAATATTTTAAAATTATCAATCTTGCAAACCAAAACGCTTTATTGAACAATCAACTCATTGACTCATCATCACCAACCAAGACATCTCCAGTCCAAGACCTCTCAAGCAAACTCCCGAAATACTTCGGAACCCTTCCCTCCGTGATGAAATGCTGCCATCCCACCAAAGAGGAGGCTAAAATCAAACGCGCTGACAGTTGATCCAAGTACCTCGGCTTGCGGACCGGAGAAAAAAAGCAACGGAAGGATACCCGGTGACAGCAGCTAAACTTGGTCTCCCCATTCGTACCGAATGTCCACCTCTTCCTTCTTTCTGGTTGGACATGTGACATGATGATCCTATGGTGCAATGCGCACCCCTTGATCTCATTGGACACCCCTTGGAACGTGCCCGGGTAGTCAATTGAGAAGAATGCTGCCTTCAGATTGGACAAAAGGAACCACCCCCAATGTCGATCCGTGATTATACAGATAAAACCCCCCATAGAAGGTCTGTAATTTGGGAGGTCCTGAGTTATGGCTTGACAAGCGGCTTAGGATGATAGGGTGTTCCTTGTGGATCCAAACGTTCATCACATTTGGGTTCACTGCTTCAATCCAAGAATTGTTACCGGTTACCCAAACCATCCATATCATCCATGGAAAATTGAGGTGTTGACGGTGTTGATCTGACCATTGAAAGATCGTTCAACATATTTTTGTTAAAAAAAGTACAGTAGGTATCAATGTAGGTAAACTTAGGTACATATTAATGGATTGTGTGGGGTTATGGTCGCTGTCGCTCTCTCTCTCTCTCTCCCCCTCTTTCTCTCGGACAAACAGTTCCTTCCTGGTGCAGTCCACAAGAAATTCATCGAAATTCCAATTCGGCCCAGTTGAGTACGTAACCCTTTGGATGGCCAGTACCTGGAAGATCAAAGAACCTTGGACAATGGCTAAAAGCTCCTGTCGCTATAGGGTCCATGTCCGGTACTGTGGAAGTTCCAGGTAGATGGCCCATGTTTCACCCTATCATAGGGGTGTCCCTTCGGCCTTCAAAAACCATGGCCTTCCCCCCTCGGTCCCCTGGTCCATCCGTCGTTGGCCCCTGGTCCATCCACTCGTCCCGTCTCGTGACGTCAACAAAAAACGTCACCAGCACCGCTCAGCACCCTCCTCCTCTTCATCTTTTGCTGTCCAGGACCAAAAAACGCGATTCCACAGGTTTGGGGATGTCACATGATTTGGACCAGGGAAAAGGATGAAAAAGGCACCTGATCCGCCAAGCCATCCAGGTCATCCACACCATCCTAGCGACTCCTCCCAGCTGGGCCCCGTGAGATCCACTTTCTTCTTCTTCCCCGGCAGCGGCGCCTCCGCCTGCGCCGAGGAGCGAACCGGTGGAGCAGTCCCAGATGGAGGCAGATCAGGATGAATCCGGCAGTCCCACAGAAAGACTCACGAATTCATCCTGATCACTTCCCAAGTACAAGGATAAGTATAATTCTGTGGCTTGTTATCCTCTAGAGGTCACTCCCCCAAGCCACCAGCCACCAGCCCAAGACGCGACGCGTGAGGGCCTGGGGTTTTTGATGGTTTTTGGTAGGACCGTCCGTCGGTCGTGTTCAAATCTGCCAGCATCTGCCAGGAATCCCTAGGGATCCAGTCGTACCATCTCAGGAGGTGATTGGAGACACTGTTATGTAGGTTTCGAGGGTCCAGTCGTACCTTCTGAGGACGTACTTGGATCCCTAGGGAATGTGATTCGACCTTGAATCCGGACTCAGCGATTCTCCTTCGACCACTTCGATCTGAGGGCAGCTGACATCCGACGGCAGCCCATCACCCATGTTGTCTTCCAACGGGCAGCTGCCGACCTACTCTAAACACAAAAGGCCGAATGGCCATGAATATGGAGGAAGTGCAGAAGCATCAAAGATTCTCTCCCTCTTTGACTGTTGTGTCACATATACCCAGCCAAATTGCGCACACATCACTCAAAGAACAAACACCAGTCGTCCTACACTCGACCCCGCACCTGGTATGCTGCCCATGTGGCAGCTGCTGCCACACGCAAGCCAAAGAGCAGCAACGCAGTGGCCAAGAAGAACAAGGTACGAATCACGCTCCCGGGCCATAGCACACCTCAAGTGACATCTCTGGCGAACCTTTTGTGGGTCTAAGTCCTCTCCCCAGATTTCATGGTCCAGTCAGACCCCAAAAGAGCCTTAGTGGTCCAAAACCGCATATGGGCGTGCAGTACAGATTGGGAGACCCCCCTATTTTAGCAGGACAACCAAATCCCAAACCCGTCAAATTGGGGGTCTCCCTCTTTTCCGAACAACCCTCCAATCTTTCTCATCGCCCCGATCATTTTCTCAGCAAATCTTCGGGTTTCTGTGGGCCCGGCGATGGGCCCGGCGAATTGCGAGCGATTTCTTCGCTCGGACTTGGACTCAGCTGACTTAGTCCACCTCCTCGACCGTGGGGCCGCTGTTGCCGCCTGGTGGAGCGCCACCCATGTCACCACCTGCGAAGAATACCAGAGGGGTCAACAAAAAGAAACACAGCTTGTGAAACAAAAGTGAATTGAGTAGGTGAATGCTTTTGTCTCACGTTTTAGCATTTTGTATATAAAAAAACAAAAGTGACCCTGCTTCACAGGTTGGCAAACTTTGAAAACCGGAAACAATACGGACATGTATCATCACATTGCCATGCACGTGGTTGAACCAGTAAATGCCTAATTGACCAATAAAACAACATAGATCAACATTGACATAGAACAAACAAATATTAGTAGCCTCTCCGTCTCTCTTACAGCCACTCTTTTCATCGTCTTGATCAATGAAGTCTGCACGCTTTCACCCACCTGGCATGCCACCTTCAGGCATGCCGCCGCCCCCTGCAGCTTGGTAGACCTTCATCATGATAGGGTTTACGACGCCCTCGAGCTCCTTTTGCTTGGCCTGGGAATGGAATGGATCGTGATCTCAAACAAATTGCAAATCACACAGTTACTCACACTCATGTGTATGTTTGTTATGATTGACATCATTGTGTCAGCTATCTTACAGAAAGACATGGCAAATAACATTTTAATAACACACTTTGACAGTCAGTATATCAGCTATAGTTGATGCTTGATTCCTCCAATATCTCATAGAAAGAAAACACAAATCACCTTTACAGATCGATATTTCATTAGGTTTTTGTTGGGCTGAAACACCGACCCAAGATGGCTTGATCACAGCCAGGTGAACTCCTCGTTGACCATGCAATGCAGGGGAGCGTGAGCCTAAACAATCAAGGCACAAATATGTATAATACAAATATATATATATATATATAATCAATATACTATATACATATACTGGCCATATGTGTCCAGCAAGACCCTGGTTTTTGGACGTTGCCGGCCAAACACGGCTGCCTCATCAAATCAACGATGTTTGCTGAATTCTTCGGCGGGAAGACACCGCAACGACCCGGACGTCGCGACGACCTGGCCGCGTCGCGCGGCGCCTCAAACTCATCCTTCTCGGCCAGCTGGTTCTTGTCCAACCAGTCCAAGGTCTCTTGAACAGCCGCTTCGATCTTCTCCTTGTCTCCGGACTCGAACTTCTCCTGGATAAAGGCTCTCTCCGGGATACGGGAGACACATCGGGTACGCCACGTGCGGTGTACACGTACGCGTACGCCCACGGCTCATAAAAGCTCCAAGCAATGGATTTTCCACTGTGTGTCCATCCATTTGTCCATCCCAGAATCTGACTCCTTCACTTTCCCTGCAACGGTTGGGTGTCTCAGTTCTCCTGCAAAAGTTCAGTTTTGGTGATCATGCAGGTAGTCATGACCGAATCATGGTTGTAGGGTGATGAGAAAGTGATGTCACGCACGTGTGCCCAGTTCAGTTGTAGCATCTGCAAGCGCGTCCTAGTGATGCCATGAGGGCATCAGAATGAAACACTCGGACACAGCCCCAGGAAGATCGCTCAGGTTTAATACGTTTTTGTCCTGTGTATAGGAGTACAAGTAAAAGTACGTGACAGAACAACACCAAGTCAAGTAGTTCATTTGTTTTTCATGGGTGGAACTTTGTGGTCAACAATTCAGGGGTACCCCCCCCCAAAAAAAGAACAAACAAGCAAACGAAGAACGATCCCCCAATGGGCTGTGGCGTCCACCAACTCCTCTCCCAGAGATGCGTCCTTGAGTTTCTCCTCATTGAGTGTGTTCCTCATGGTGAAACAGTAGTTCTCCAAGCCATTCTTGGCCTCAATCTTCCTAACAAAAGAAACGAGCACGAGCACCGCCCGCCGCCGGTGGCGGTCCGGCGATGTTAGGCGACGTGGTGAGGTCCGAGACAGTCACTCAGTCGGACCATCTGCAAGTCATGTGATCAGGAATCACCAGGAAGCGAGCGGATACAGTATATGGCCAAATCTCTCCAAAGCTCATCCAAGGCAAGATCTTATCAATACAACAAAAACAACAGATTTATTATACATTACCTGTCCGTGTCTTTGAAAGTTCCACACTGAAACAGGTGTTTTGTGAACCCGACTTCTGCTTGTTGCCCAGCTCATGCCCAGCTTCTGCTTGTTCTGCTCATCCTCCGCACGGAACTTCTCAGCCTCCTGCACCATCCGGTCGATCTCCGACTGAGACAGGCGACCCTTCTCGTTGGTGATGGTGATCCTCGGGGGCGGCGAAGCTTCGCGGCGCACTCGGCTGTGTGAAACGGGTGCTTTCTTCGACTCCAGCGGAGAAAAAGCCAGACCTGATGACTCAAAACAATCACCTCGCACCAAGCGCCAGTTGCTGCGATGCAATTTTATTGATGGTGTGTTTTGATGTTTCTTTGTAGGTGACCATAAAGATGTCTGCCAGTTGTTTGAGTCTTGAGCTTCATGGAGTGTGAGGGAACTATTCCAAGGATCTGGTTGGACTTTCCAGTGGACTTGTCCTCGGCCGTGCAGCGCATGTTCGGCCGTGGAAATGTCACAGTGTTGCAGTATATCTTGGATGAAACATGCAAAACACATATATCCGGCACCTCGATTAGACACCGGTGCTTAACCAATACCGCAAGAACCCCTAGTGTGTCCACGCTGCTTGGGGAATACGTTCATGATTTCTGATGGGGCGTGTCCCTGACAGTGTCACATTGTTTCAGACTCCGCCCACATACTCTGCCCACATACATCGAACCACCTTCGACCGGGTCCGGCACAGCTGGCCGTCCTACGGTTGATGTGGGACGAATTCCTGCAGACACCTGGAAATTCAGGGAAATCCTCGTTCTAATCTACAAATATCACGGATCGAATAGATTATATCATGATTATAGATGTTATTCCAAAATGAGCAGCATGAGTGCAGAGCAGTTCGGTGGGAAACACACTCACCCTTCTCAACTCTTGCTGGAAACACCGGGATGTTTTGAATATGGAGCCGTTTTGCAGCCCAAATCGATGTTTTTTCGCCCAAGTTCGGAGGCTCTGACATTCAAAATGCCATTGGCATCGATATCAAAGGTGACCTCGATCTGTGGCACACCGCGTGGGGCTGGAGGAATGCCATCCTCAGCCAAGCATGCTTCACCAAAAACCAGTGGCAGCTCTTGGTGCATTGAAGAGGATCATGGACCACGAAGGCCGTAAAAATCGTTTCAATGGTCCAGGTAGGTCCGTCGCCCGTCAGCTGTCGGCCGGTTCCAACCATATCCTACTATGGTACACCTCCTTGAAAAAGAAATGAAAGTGGAGCTCACCACCTCTCTACAGGGGCCTTTTCTAAAAATACACATATGTGCTGTGATCATATGTGTCGATAAAAACATGCAAGAGCATCTTCACAGATCACACACCTGGAGGATCATTGGCCAGACAAACTCATCAATGGACGGACGTTATCTCAGCGTCGCTTGAAAGCCCGCATTGTTCGGAAGGAATCCAACGCCACCACCGAACTTCACACCATGCACTAAGATATACCAACAACGTGCCCTGAAACAAGCTTTTCTCTTTCGGTATTCTTTGGGAATAGCAGCATGTTCCAGCTCACTCATGAAACTTGAGGCCAGGGGGAGAGGTCGAAAGCTAGCCGAATCGCACCGGATGTACTAGTTACATAGTCGGCAAAGCATGTAGGGATTACATGTTTTGGGAGGAAGGTTGCTATGTACATACTTTGCGCTAAAGAACGTAAATGTGACATCGCTGACTGGGAAGGGTACATTGGAACAACCCGGGTGCACTCGTTGGCAGGCACGAAGATGCGTGATCGGCGAATCCGGGGGGTAAATTTACCTTCCGCTTTTGTATGCCTTGAGTCGGAAAGAGGGGTAAGCATTTCTGACATCATACGGACTGTACATACACTAGGGCGTCCGTAGTGTAGGAGAAGCACGGGTAAAAGGTATATGGAATAGAGTGTCTTGAGGAAAAAGCCGGTGTATGGTTATTGCAAATCTGGGGGGTAAATTTACCCCCCGCTTATGTATGCCTTGTGCTGGAAAGAGGGGTAGGCATTTCTGGCATCACAAGGACTGTGCATACACTAGGGCGTCCGTAGTGTAGGATAAGCACTGGTAAAAGGTATAAGGAGTAGAGTGTCTTGAGGAAAAAGCCGGCTTATGGTTATGGCAAATCTGGGGGGTAAATTTACCCCCCGCTTATGTATGCCTTGAGCCGGAACGAGGGGTAAGCATCACAAGGACTGTGCATACACTAGGGCGTCCGTAGTGTAGGATAAGCACTGGTAAAAGGTATCAAGAATAGAGTGTCTTGAGGAAATAGCCGGTGTATGGTTATAGCAAGCCTGGGGGGGTAAATTTACCACCCGCTTATGCATGCATTAGGTTAGAAATAGGGGTAAACAACTTGTAACGGTGAAGTACAAGTCCTATGCAGCAAGCAGCAGCCAGCAGCAGCAGCAGCAGCAGCCGCCTGCAGCCAGCAGCCAGCAGCAACCACCAACCAGCAGCCAGCCAGCAGCACCACGCAGCAGCAGCGCAGCATCAAGCCGCAGCAGCAGCACCACCGGCAGCAAGCACCACCGGCAGCAAGCAGCAAGCAGCAGCAGCAAGCAGCAAGCAGCAGTAGCAGCGGCGTCGTCAGCCGCAACAAGTAGCAAAGCAG